TCTTGCCTGTGGCCCCTAGTCGTCCAGATAGTTAGTAAACGTGCTATGAAATGTAGTTGAGGAATAAAGTGCCGTGTGTTCGTGGGGTTAGGTGAGGTAGTGAGTGGTTTTGCAAACCGATTTTTGAAAACTTTTTCTAGAGATCAATTACCCTAACACCAAACTGATATTTTTGCACTCGACGCGCGTTTCGCTAACAAGGTTAGCATCTTCAGGAGAGGCAAATTGATACTGAATCTGAAGACAAGGGTTAGCTGTTTATATACCTACAGTTTTTTGGTCCGATGTGGACTTTGTTTATTAAATGATAATTATCCTAATTGATCTTTCGGTAATTAACTAGTGGAACCACTACCTGCAAATTAATTCGTCAACAATAGATCAAAAAGCGGAAAAATTAATGTGCAGGTAGTGGTTCGTTCGACAGTTCTTCGAGTCATTAAAATAGGGGATGTCATTGACCATGCAATGAAACGAAAACAAAGGAATGAAAAATTCGCAAACGTTGATGGTGCTACAAAAGATGTGATTCGGCGAACAATTCATGGTATATACCAAAAAAATTAAGTATCAACCTTGGAAATGATATGATATAAATTACTCGACTATCTCGATTACAATTACAAATCTTCAGAAACTCTACGAGGTGTGTCTTATTGTCTTGTGGTTTCAAATATAAAAAATTGAACAATCGGATGGTCATAATGGAATCGACACGCATTGTTCAACTCCGACAAGAATATTTGAGGCGAATGAAAAGCTACCGAGAATCCAGCAGACGTATAAGGTACCTCGACGAAACTTGGTTTGACACCCATGATGTTGTCAAATATGGCTGGGTAGACGAAACCAAGTATTGTGCTTCTTCAAGGACAAAACGTGTTATAATTTTGCATGCCGGGAATGAAAGTTGTTTCGTACCTAACGCTCTGCTTCTGTCGGCCAAAAATATAAAAGATTTGTCTGCTGATTACCACGAAGATATGACTGCAGCTTTATTCGAAACCTGGTTCAGTGAGCAGCTTCTCCCAAATATTCCTCCAAACTCGGTTATATTTATGGATAATGCTTCGTATCATTCTCGGTTATCGACTACAATACCAAACAATAACACAAAAAAAGCAGATATTGTTGAATTCATGCGAAATCATGACGTGGAAATACCCGAAAAGATTCCAATGAAAAGGTATTACTGATGACCATAAAACAACGTAATTTCAAAAAAAGAGTATATTATTGATTCGATGTGTGAAACACGTGGACATATTCTCTAACGTTTGCCTCCATACTATTGTGTGTTCAATCCAATTGAAATGGTTTGGGCCACAATGAAAGAAAGCTTGCGGAAATGTAATCAGTCACCGACTTTGAATGCTGTGGTGCTTGACAATATAAGGTGAGTGGTGAATGAAGTAGGTAATACTGTATGGAAGAACTGTGTGGCATACGTTATGAAATAAGAGAACAAATATTATGTGCAAAGTTCCATAAATCCGATCGTTATTCAACCCGATGATGATTCCACCTCATCCGAATATAGCGAACAAGAGTTTTGATTTTTCTAGCAATTTTTTTGGCCTCTATTACTTTGTAAATATATGTTTGATGAGAATTCGGTGAGATTATTTGTGTTGTCATTGTATTTTAGAGTTTTCGACTCGGAAACCAACTACCTTAAATTTCGAAGTTTTTCATAAGTACCCATGGTGGAAAAATTCAGTTGAGATAACTTTTCCATGGGGTGATCAATTGCTATGATTGAAAGAATAAGTAACTGAAAAACTACCACCTATTTCGAGGCGGAAATTCCTTCTCTGTGCTGTTCCAATTGGTATTGGAAATACTATACCACATTATTTTGATCAGTTTATTAGTGACGCAATAATCAATGGGGAAAAATGAATGAAAATGCAGTTCCCGAAAGACTTCTTATTTTACTCGAGGCAAGTTTCCATATCGTTCATAAACTTACGTCTTGATGGTAGTTTTGGAGTAGCCATTTTTGCACATAGTTTAAACAGTCCGAATATTTTCATTAATCCCTTGTCTTTTTCTTATTGAGTCAAGCGGACAGCTAAGTTTAATTTTGATCCCAGGTGTTCCGTTTCTTTGTTGAAATAACTTTTTGACACTCTAAGAAATTTTTATATCACTGAATTATTTATACCGCCCAAAGTTGATAATTACGGGAAACGAATTCGGTTTATTTACGCCAATCACCTTTCCAAAAGGTTGAGCTTTATGAAAACCATTTTGGTAACGTTAGTTGAACATGATGTTCACACAGTCACTTGGTTTAAGTAACATCGGTTTTTAGAAACATTCTTTTAAGATGCCGTGTGAACGAAGTCAATTATATTTGATAGATACTTCCCTCAAATGTTGACACTAGAACCATATAAAACAAAACATTTTATTCAATGAAAAATTGTTAATACTCAAAGTCACTCAAATATTTACGACAATAAAAGAAATCACTGATAGAGTAAAAGTTGTCACTTCCTTGATTCAAAAATCCCAAAAAAACCTCTACACAACTCACCTGCTATTACAGGAACGTCAAAGTCGAACTGCTGACTGGCACTCGACGTCGAATTAACTTGCCTCGTCTTGATCAACGGCGGATTCTTACTCTGAGATATGGCCAAGCTCCTTCTCAAATTTCCCCTCGTTGGTGATGGCGGGGGATACGAGATCCCTCTGTGGGTGGGACTCAAAAGCTGACTGCCGTTTTTCCCGCCAGGTACCGAAAGGGTATTTTGATTCAGATTTAGGCTCATGCTGCCGACGTTAGGCGAGCCTAAAGTCAGGTTCGGCAGGCTCTGGCCCAGATTAGTGTATGGTTGAACCGAGAGGGTGTTCGGGGTCCTAGGAAAAAGGCGGTTTTTGAAGGAGTTTTTCTGTGAGACAGGACTCCTGTCACTCCTGTCTGGCGGTAAGGGCTGAACACCCTCGTCACTGGATAACGATCCAGTTCTGTTTTCATTCTCCATTGAAACACCTCGGGACTGGTTATTCATAGAGCACACAGACGATTGGTCGTTCATTTCTACCGATCCGCTGAAAAAGAATAGGATTATTTATTTGGTGTCCTTCAGGGATCCACTTCGAGACTCATACAATTCATGATGTATATTAACTCAAAACTGAAAATCTAAATATCAATACAGTATCACTTTTTTCTGCTTGAAGATAATAATGGAGACGTAGAAGTGCGAAAAATTGAAAAAAAATCTTGATTGAAAAATATTTCGTTAACGTTAAATATCTACCTGTGGCTGTGTGCAAGACTGGAAACCCGGCTGGCTCTCGACGAAGTTGCAAGGGGTGATCTAGGAACTAGTTGTAGACTGGGGTAGTCGTTTTCTAAATTATAGTCAAAGCTATAGTCGGTGTCCACACTTTCATCAGCTATATAACTCATCTGTCGGGCTTGTGCATACAGAGTTTGTGCTTTGGCAATACCGTCTTTCCATCCCTGAAACATTGAAATGGAATGAGTCTAAATTAGAGGCAATATAGAACTATTTTAATAGTCTACTAAGTTTTTGGTAAATTTTCTGAAGGAAACCAAAACTAGTAGTAACAAAACTATTCGTTGAAATCGGTTCATCAGGTCTAATGTTCTGGCCTAAGACACAAAGACATAAATCACATAAAAACCTGATGCTAACTACATGGTTTGTCCTATACAAACTCTAACAATTCAAATGAGAGATGTGTATTATTTTTAGGGCACGATTGATTTTACTTTCGTAATCAGAACCAAAAACATAAGTTTATCGTCGTAAATTATTTTCTATTGATTATTACCAGAATATCTCACAATAAGATTCATTCGAAGAATACCACGAATTGAAGTAATTAAGTTGAATCACATAACAAAAAGTAACCTGAAACGAATGATAACTCTCTAAAGTCGAAACTTGTGCGAGCTAAAGACTAACGAGGTCTTGCCTTTTAACATGTGATTTCTAACACGAGTTGGACGATAGGAAGTGAAAATCGATCGTCCGGCCATGCGGTTCGTACCACCGGTTCGCACAGCGGTCAGATTCACTGACTGGAGCTGACCACACATGCCAACACACCAGGCTACCGTCCCACAAAAAAGCATCCATTCTACTTTCAATGATTTTATTGGATTTCAAAAAGTTTGTAAATTGATAAAAAAATATAAAAAATGGTCGGAGGAATCACACGTTGAAAGGTAAGACCTCGTTAGTCATTAGCTTGCACAGGTTTCGACTTTTGAGAATTGTCGTTCGTAGGGGGGTACAGCTGGTTAACGGAAAAACAAATTTCAACAGATTTTTTTAACAGATATGACCCGACCTGAGATTGAACCCATGACCCTTGGCACTACCTCAAGCTGCAACTGACAAGTTATTGTAACATGAAGCTAAGGGAGAAGGAAATATTAAGAGCAGATTGTTGTTGGTTCACAGATGGATCAAAAACGCCTTCAGGATCTGGTGCAGGTGTTATCAGTCGCAGAACCAGGACAGAGATATCAACCTGCCTTGGAACCTATGTGACTGTTTTTCAAGCGGAAATTTACGCTATTGAATTGTGTGCGGAGAGATTGGAAGAATCCAACCTCATACACAAGGCAATAAAAATATTCTCGGACAGTCAAGCTCTTGGCTCTTACTGAGCAACGTCTGAATTCGTAGCAAATTGCCAAAAACGACTCTCCTCGATAGAAAGAATAAACAGATTGTCTTTGGTCTGGATTCCTGGCCATACTGGCCTGGAAGGCAATGAGGCTGCTGACTCACTTGCAAAGGAGGGTGCTGCAAGCAGCTTCATTGGACCAGAACCTGTCATTGGCATCGCTTTGGGCTCTGCAAACAAATATTGAACAACTGGATGGCAAGAAGATTTATGGACTTCTGGCAGAATCTTCTAGGGTTGGCTAACTCCAAGGAGTTTATTCATCCTTCAGTGCTTGATACCAAACAGTTGTTGGACTACAGTAGGGATAAATTACGATATCTAACAGGCCTTCTTACAGGTCACTGTCATTTGAATCATCATATGCAGAGATTCGGACTGTCGGAAAACAGTGTGTGTCGCCTTCGTACTCTTAACATCTGACCTGAAAGACCACTCATCATACAAGCTAATCGACTTCGTTAAGAAGATGGGTTTATTTGGTCGAGTGTGAATAGGTGTGAGCCTCTACCACAACCCTTTCGGGTTGTGGTAGAGAGTCGAATAAACCCCCTCATTTTGGATCTAACCCAACCTAACATAAAGCTATTCGAGTTTCTATTAAATTTCTTTTTTTGTTTCATGTGCCGCAACATAACTGTATTTGCAGAGTAGTACATTTAATCTGTTTTGTATTGGTATTAAGTTAGATGTCCTAAGGGATTGGATAGATAGATTGATGGATATGAAATAACTGGAATGTTACTGGAAAGTGTATCAAATAATTTGTGGCAAGAATGCGTTACTTCACTACATATATAGTTCTTGCTAGGAAACTTGCAGGACTGATATAATCTATTTCGAGTTTTTGGAAGTAATATCTTCTTATGGGAGGGTGAACTGCTTGTTCAGCTAACGTGTAACGGCGCCGGTTCGTCTGGATTCCCTTTCTCTCACGCATACGTCAGTGGACGGCAGGCTCCTCCACTCTCGTTGGATAGACGATCAGTGTTTAGTGAGCGTTAGACATGTACTGTTGACAGTATCATAAAAAACTAACCAGCAAAGACATAATATTCTTTCATTATGTGAAACGTGGCTCAAAACTGATGATACATATTTTGTGTATGTACATTATTAGTATCATTAATCAATTCTACAAAAGTAACAATTGGCTTATGATAGCTATGATATATGTACATACACAAAATAATCAATAACAATTTTTATCAATCAATAACCTTTATTATATTATACATAAAATTCAAGTTATGACCTAACAGTGCCTCAAGTTAAACAATATTATTATTGAATAGTTCAACTTAGATTAGTTTAAGTAATCTCTTCTGTCAGGCGTCCCGAGACGCACACGTTTTTTTGTGATCTTTTTTTCTCAAAATCATTCTATTTCAAGTTGAAAAAAATCATAACAAACTTATTAGTAAAATCAGGTGTAGTATAAGCTGCAAAAAAAATCTGGGTCTGAAGAAATCGGGAGTAACCAATTTTACCCACTGAATTTCATAATTAGGAATTCCATTTTCTAATATAGTTCAAAATGATTTGAAGTACCGATGAAAATTGAAATGAATAGCTGAAAATAACAATTATATCATATGAAATGAAATCACAACGAAATAAATTCATTTCGGAGGTGTTTTGCTTAATATAATTGTTATATTCAGATATTCATTTTGATTTCATTTGTTCTTTCGTGGATTTAGACAATGAAAGTCCGAACTAATGAAATTCACCATGAAACATTGTCAACCACCTTCAAATAAACGTTTCTCCACAAAGTTCTTCATCTTCAATTTATCCAACTAACAAACTGAAATTATCATTTGGCTCACT